CAGCTTAATGACTTAATTACTTAAGTAATTTCTTGAATTTCTCAATGGCACGAATCAAAAGCTGAAGCAAAGTTTACAATGATACGAGAAAATTACCTGAAACTAGGTAAGTGTCCCTTGGTGTCTCGCACGTAATTCAAATAGCATTTCCACAGATCAATATTCAACACTTTGATGAGGCACTTGTGGAAGAGCTAAATCGAAAAGCCATTAAATTTAAAATTTGAGCGATAAATATAATTTCTTAAATGTATCCGTTACAAATAACATTTAGTTGAGAGAACTATGCCAAAGCCAATCTATTGCACATTCTTTTAGACAATAACTTCATAATAACTTATATATACGTCATATAAAACGTGCTGGCTATAAAATAAATTATATATGGTTTTATTTTATACTCACAAGGTGCTATATCTATCTGAGGTAGCTTATCTCCACAACCATTAAAAACCAACTATTAAAAATCGAAGAATAAAAATGGCTTGGAGCATTTCGGAACGACCGAAAAGGATTTTAACCAGAAAACTGCCCTTGTGCTTCAAACGGAAAGTACTCAACCAGTTGCGCGCCTACTGCTAACTCATGGATGCAAAACGTGAACTCGAAACCTGAAAGCTACTCATAAACTGCAGACTACGCAACGCAGCATGGTAAGATGTTTATCATGAATAACAAGAAAAGACAGGAAAGCAGTTGAATGAATATGGGCACTAACCAGAGTCTGCGATATCACAGTATGAGTGACGAAGTAAAAGTAGCAACGAGCAGGACATGTTGAACGAAGAATCGAACAACACTGGACCGAAGACTCACGCTGTTCAAAGAAAAAGTAAACGACCAGTAGGAAGAATACCAGGTCGATGGCGGGATGAACTGAAAAATTTCGCTGGATGAAGACGCATGAAAATAGCAGAAAACACGTCTAAGGAAAAGTTTAAGTGACATCATCCAGCGGTGGAACGACAAAGGCTGAAGATGATAATGTAATGCTTAACGTTAGAAACGCTTTTAAACTGCACGCAACTTCTGAACTTCATGTGAATGTCAGGTTGTTGCGGGGAGTTTGCTCCAATTAATTGGAGTGTTAGCTTATCAGAGTACGCTCACCTTAGCCGATGCCCAATTGGCTGAAACGCTGGTTGGTTGAGTAAAGACGTTCCTTCAGAGGAAAGTCAAAACGAGCGCACGTCTGAGCAGTACTGCTCCATATTCGCCATTCTAACAGTGAAATAGATATCATTTTCCTTTCTGTCTTAAGTACTGTATCTTTAGCATCTTCTTTGAGAATCTTTGTTCTCTACTAAGCAGACAGATTGCACATTGAAAAGATTTAACCATGTTAATTGTTTAAAAG